GGGGAAGGGTATGTGGGTGTAGGTCAGCTCTTCACAGTCACTGAGCTGTCCACTCATTCCTTCACAGATCACTTGGCGTAACTCATATCACTCTACAGAGCTGGCATGACACTGTCTGTGTATACTTGTATTTTAATGAGTTCTTCAAAAATGCTGATGCCTCTAGAGAGTGCTAGGGGTTCAGGCTGGACTGGTGATCCAGAGCCTTGACTTCAGCATAACTCTTAATGCACCCGAAAGACTGCAGTCAGCATCTTTACTGGCCGATTCTGCCAAGGAGGCTGTGATTTGGAAGGATGCACTTGTGCTCGGGGCTGTGCCTCTGCCTGTTGGCTCAGCATCTACTTGGGGACAGACCACATCTGCACTGGCATGAAGGCGATCAGCTTCTGTGCATTTTGGATGTCATTTTAAAGCTTCTGTTGCCACCCTGAGGGGTATGTGTTCATGGAGCCAACTTGCTGATTCTCCATCTTAAATTGTTAGCCAACAGCTGTGAGTGTCTGGGTGTCCTTCCTGCAGATGTGGTATCGATCATGGATTCCAACTTGGCCATGTCAGGACTTTGCCTAACAGAGCTACAAAGAGATGCAACATACTCTCCAGGCTGCTCATCATAAGGCAGAAACCTTTGCCTAGAGGAGTAGACCTGTTGTCTCACATAATTCTTGAGTTTACTAACAATCTGAGATCTCTCTCAAGGAGTCTCACAGCTCTTCTGGGTCCTTCACCATGGAAGCTCTCCTTCCTCCCTGCCTGAAGGAATCCTAATCAGCTGTGAGTGTCTCAATCCACAGTGTGGAACCCTCCCTAAAATCACTAGATCACGTGTCCTGGCCTGGATTCGTGTCTCCAGTGTAGCATCCATTTCAGCTTTACAAAGGCTGGTTCTCTGTGAGTCTCTCTCTGCTAGTCAAGAGCCTTGGTGACTTTTATATTCATCTTTGTTATTTGCTGTCCTCACCCTTCCACTCTGAGTGAGATGTGTGGGGCATAAGCTAGATGTTGAAATGTTCTGTTGCTTTGAAATGGCATTTTGCTTCTAACAAATAGAGTACACTCACTAGAAAAACATAAGAAAGTGGTATGATTTCTTAATGCTAACATCTGCATCGTAAGTATTGTGGCAAAGTTTTTGAGATCCATATATTTTTGAAATCAGATGAATATTCTCTTCTTATAGGTCTCTGGCGATGTTCTGAGTCTTTGTGTAGTCACATTAGCATCCTGCTATGTCACAGCTTGTGGGTTTCCCAACAGAAGCAGTGGTATTTCACTGTGTGGCGTTCAGTTTGATAGTTTCTCTAACAATATACTCTAGAAAACATTAAGAAATTTGACTTGAAAAATGAGAAGTTGGGAAACATTGTAAATTTCACTGTCATTCAAAAATATTTGTTGCTCTTTCCTGGGAAAGAATAAAACATTGCCAGGCTGATCACATGATGGCTGGCGGTAGACTTTGCTCTGACCAATGAAACTGACAGGAAATATGCATGGTGTTTCTACCACAGCATCCAGCACTGCTGCAGACAGTGCTAAGTGGATCTATAGCAAAGAAGAAAAAAAATCTTTGTTGTGAACCACTGAGAATTGAAGGCTCTTTGTTACTGCAACATAACCTAACCTACTGAGTGATGGACCTAATGAGAGAGATCCGAGGCAGAGAGAAGAAGCAAAAGCCATGTGGCAAGGACACCAGAGTTTGCCATCAAGCCACAAACCAGGATCAAATCTTGAAGTTACTTCAAGATCGAAGCGGCCAGGAGGTTTCAAACTAAGACTCAGTAAAGATGTTGAATGTTTTGTATATTAAACTCAGCTGAAGAGTCAAATGAATATCCCTAGTTTCACTCAGTTAGTACGTCACTGTAGTAGTGGTAGTGGTAGTAGGAGTAGTGGTTTAGGTACTTGCCTTGGCATTGCGGTGTGTGAAGAAATACATTCCTTTCACAGACTCTGCCTAGGAACCACATGGCTTACTAAAGACGATCTTAGCTTGATAGTAATAGTAATTATACTTCTAATGAGAAAGAAAATGATACAAGAAGGTGGCCGTCTACATGCGGAAGGAGAAAGAAGGGAGATGTGGTGCCAGCCCAATACCCTGGAATGTGGTTGAGGGAAAGCTGTGCTTAAGAACAGCGGGCACGGACTGGCAGAGGCAGCAAATGTGCACCATTGTTTTGAGGCAGTGCCTGTCTCTTCGGCTACAAAATAATATGTGAAATGCAGAGACTGGGTGGAAAATAAAATTGAAGTTAATTTGGGAAAACATTTAATTAATTTGAGGAGGCTAAAATTCCCAGGTGAGTATTTTGGTGTTTGTAGAAAGCGAGTGGCCATAGAGCATTTCTGCAAAATGAACGGCAGTGTGGACGCTGTGCTCCCAGAGGCTCGCAGGTACCGGGGGCCTGCGGGTGACGGCCCACCATGCAGGCCTCAGCCGCTCCTTGTGTCGGCGCTCCTCCTTTGCAGGGACCCACACGGAGAGCAGCACAGCTGCGTTAGCCCTGCACGCAGGGAGAAGCCGCTGCTTTGATGCCGTTGGAGAAACTGGCGGACTGTGGAACTGAAAATCAGTGTACACTTCCACCTCATGTCACACTCTGACACAGTCGCCAGCTTTCAGAATACCGGCAAATACCTATTATTAACTTCCCCCAGCCTAAAGATAAGTTTTTAAAGTCATAAGGAGAGAGGGGCCAGGGATTTAGCTCAATGGTTCCACCACCTGCCTTGCCAGCACAAGAACCCAAGTTCAATCCCCAGGACCAAAACGAAAAAGAAATTAAAGTCACAAGGAGAAAAATGAAATGTACAGATGCAGTTACATACACGAAGTTAAGTACCTATCTGCCTGCCATTCAAAGTCATTAAATTTTAAAATAAACAACTGAGAACATGCTTGTGGACAACAGAAGCAAGGCTTAGTATATAAAATGCTAAAGTGAAAAGGTAAACACAGTAAGAGGAAAGAGATTAGAAAAATGAAATAATTTTGAAATAATTCACAAGATTATATACAGAGGAAAACATGGGAGATATTCAGTTAAATAAAGTAATTGAAAGAACATGTTATTCTCATGAAAATTAGCAAGAGTTAAGAGATGTTACATAATATGCTTGCAAACTGTGAGAGGTGCTTCTATAAAGTTCTGACAGTGGCAGTGCACCTTGGTATGATTCTTTTGCAGAGTTATTTGACAACACACATAAAAGCCCTAAATGTTGTCCTTGTAAGTCATCTTTTCTCATATTGATCTGAAAGGAATGCATGTAAATATAGCAAAAAAGCTCTGATCAAAGATATGTATAGTTTTATAAAAATAGAAATCACCTAAATCTATCGCACTCAAGAAATAGTATTTGTAAACTACAGATTTCATTTGTATATATTTGATGGGAGATTGGAGTTTAAAATTGTGTTTACGTATAATTTGTGACAACTATGAAAATACCTGTGGTATGATGACAATATGTTATGTGAATTTGATCAGAGCTTCACAAAAGAAACCCTATCCATGCACACACAAGAAACTGGAGGGGTCCCCTAGATGTCATCTTTAATTGCCGTGCTCACTAGGTGATTTCTTGTATCTTTTATGTAATTCTGCCTGAGAACATGGTAGTAAAAGATGAAGCCAGGAGACAAAATTGTTCCCTTTTATGATTAAGGTGACAGCCATGTGGGTGAGCCTGGTTGCTAAGTAAAGAATGAGGAACTGAGGCAGAAAGGGAGGTGGGTCGAGTCTGGGAAGTGCACATGTGTGGGAAGGGGCAGTGGACAAGAGGCACATGTCAGTTCCGGAGTAGAAGGAGATCCAGAAAGACGAGGTCTCCTGAGTCTTAGGGCCGTGCGGTCTCAGGAAGTGAGCTTTCCCTCGGCGAGGGAGGGAGGCCAGGAGGCAAGGAAACGCATGAGAAAAACACATGGGAGAAGGTGTCACGGGTTGAACTTCGAGCACTGGCATCCGGGAGATGAGCTGAGAGGGTTGCAACCAGCAACGGGCTCTGCTGGAATGGACGGGCGGGGGACAGGGAGGCTGCCCCGCTTCATGTCAGGAAGAACAGTGCAGTGCGGCACGGAGGAGTACCACACTGAATGGGACGTTCTGAACAAGCTCCTTTCTCCGTCCTACTGGCGGCGCTGGCAGGATTTCAGGGTGTGCTAGTGAGACAGACAGTCTGAGGCTTCCCGCTGCCGCTGGATTCACACACCGAAAACGGTCAGGTGCCTCCCTCGGGCCCTCCGTGCCTTCTCTGTGAGCAAAGCAGGGCAGCTCCGTGGATGCTGCTGCTGAGACCGAACTTGCTGCCCTGCCCTCCAGTCCTCAGGCTGCCCCTGAGCTGGCTCAGCTGGTCTAGAGCAGGGATGGGGAACCTTTCAGAGACGAGCGCCCAAACTGCAACCCAAAGCTGCTTATTTATCCCAAAGTGCCAGCACTGCAGTTAAACCTGAGTCCTGAGGGTTTAGTTTAGAAAGAGCAGCTGTTACCGCATGCTGGGCTGTTGGGGTGACTTGGCTCCACACCAGAGGTTCACTATCCCTGGTGCAGGGCCCAGGCCTCCAGCCCCGGGGCTCAGGATCCTCTGATGGGCAGGGGGATGACTGGGGAGCCCTCGGGCTAGGAGAGCCTCAAACCGAATCTCCCCTGCTGAGAAGGGAAGGGTCCTGAATGAAGAATAAACAAGATATTTGGCAGTATTCTGTACTCTGACCTAGAAGTTCCCCGTGGGTTTCCCAGGAACAGCTCTCCACTGAGTATTTAGCTCCCGAAGAATACGCTCATCATGATCTTTGACACACAGACAGGAACACACCTGCCTCGCACCTCTACCACGGACTCCGCTGGGCAGGCAGAAGCACACCCGTGCGTGCGTGCGTCTCCCTCGGGTCATGGACTTGTCACGCGTGTGCTGCTGACCCGTGGAAGTCCAAGCCCGCTCCTCATCTGCTGTCTCTTCTCCCGGGCACTAACCTTGTCTCTTCACCGTAGGTGCCTATCCCCGACTCTCGCTGAGCTTCCGGTTGAAGAGAAACATTGGCTACTTCATTCTGCAGACGTACATGCCCTCCATACTGATCACAATCCTCTCGTGGGTGTCCTTCTGGATCAATTACGATGCATCTGCGGCTCGAGTCGCCCTCGGTATGTGCTACCTCTAAGTGAGATCGAAATGGAAGGTGACTGTATCATTACAGCATTACGGGAGTTTAAAGGTTCAACTACAGTTTTTTGACATCATGACACCAGCCTTGCCCACATAGTTACTTTTTATCTTGGAACACTGATTTCATGCACAATTCCCTTGATGTGTTAATTTAATTATAAAGCTCAAATGTGAATTTCCATGCCGGTGAAAGGGAAAATATGCTTGCAGAATATTTGCATAATACAACTAGTTTGGACACTAATTTTAAAGCAAGGATTAACATCTCCTGTTCAACATTATTCCATGGCCCAGAAAGAAGACTTGATTAATTGTGCATTCTTCTTTTTTAAGTCAGAAAAATGGTCAAATATTACAGAATATAATTGAAATTATACAAATTTTTTTGGAATTACACAATTGAATGAGCATTAAAATAAGCACTTAGAGTCTGAGTAGTTCCAAAGAGCCATAGTGATCTTTATGAAGTATTGGTTACTTAACTGGGTTATTAGATGATAAACGATAGACCTTATAGATTTTGATATTATTTTTAATACTTCATTATGAAGGGAAAGCTTATAATTTCAGAAAAATTATCCAGCTAATTATTAGGAAACTTCATGAACAAAATAATAACTTGAATACATTTTAGGTAAGTACAGAGATAATGAGCAATTATAGTCCTTTCATTCTCAGGTTGATTTTGACTCCTAAAACTGTAATTAACAACAGGTATTTTAAAAATTGATGGAAAAACACTATCACTACTTGCCGGTGAAGTCATTCAGGGTTCCACTTATGCCTTCTTGCCCTCTGTTCTATGTTACCAACTTTTCCCAGGACTTTAATTTTTTTCCTAAGGGGATGTGTATATGTGGATGTGCAGTTTAGATCCAAGGGCATAAGTTGCACACTTGTCTTCAAGATTAGATTTTCCCAGGAAATGACACATAACTATCAGTTGAGAGAAAAAAATCAAGTGGCTATTCCTAAGGATATTAGGTAAATTAAAAAAGGACTTCGAGAAGAATAATGTATCAAAACACCAATTCTGTATTGCTATGTATTTCTCTTCTTTTATTGGTATGTGTTTGCAGTACATAATATTTACATTCCTGTTTTGGAATTGGTGCATGCACATAGCACATCTTAATTCTTTTTCTCATTCCCTTTCCCTTACCCTCTTCATCTCCTGATCCTCTTCCCATTTGAGAAAGATATATCTCCCTACTTCTCCCAGCTTCCTATTCTCTACCTTTTATTTTGCTCTTTATTTGTACTTTGTGTTTCTCGTGTAAGTGAAACCATGTGATAGTTAAGCTTGTCTCATTTATTTCAGTCAACATTGTGGTCTCAAGGTGTGTCTCTGTTCCTACAAATGACTCAAGTATATCTTCATGGCAGAATAATACTCCATTGTTTGTAATTGCCATATTTCCCTTATCTAATCAAGAATGAATGATCGTCAGGAAGAAATCAAATAATAACAAATGCTGGTGAGGCTGAAAGGGAAAAGGAACTCTTTTACATTGTGGTGGGAATGTAAACCAGTACAACCACTATGGAAATCAGTACGGAGAGTCCTTAAAAAACTAAAACTAGAAATTCCATTTGACCAGCTATGCCCTTCTATGTGTCTTCCCAAAAGAGTTACAGACATCAGATTACAGTGATACGTCCATACCCAGGTTTATAGGAGCACAATTCATAACAGCCAAATCTTAGAAAAACCCTATATGCTATTTATTTCTAATGGGTATGGAAGGCAAATTTTTCTTTAAAAAGTAACTAGGATGTCTCTATAAGTTTTACCATTTTTCTTTTTAATATTACTAGAATATTCTTTGTTAAACTATTTTCTTCTCACCTGAAAATTTCACTGATACAAAACATTTATGGGACAGATTCAAGTTTCGTGGCACTGTTATACTTTTTCTTTTAAGAAAAAAATAATATATAAGTGCAGCATTGCTGGGAGGCATCCTTAAGCCTGTGCAAATGGAGACCAGAGGGTGAGATTTCATGAGCTTTAGAGCGAATCTGCTGTGGAAATTTTTCCTTCATGTGATCATTAGAGAAATATCAGTACTGAAGAGACGTAAATGTGGGCATCACTGGGGTGAGGGGAACTGAAAGTGCAAATCTTGGACTTTCCTAGCTACTGCAAGTTCTGTACATCCTTTATCATAAAATATTGTCTCCCAGTACACGAAACAGATGATCTATCTGAAGTGGTTAATATCCAACCCAGCCTCCATCCGCGGTAGGAAAACAGATTCCACTTTTTGTTACAAGGCAGCGTTATTAGGATGAGCCTGGATTGGGTCCTGTGACTGTGCTGGGAGGATAGAGTCCTCTGGGCAGAGCTGCTGTGGTCTCATCCTGGGTGACAGTCAGGCTCTGGTGGAGTCAGAGCCTGGGGCAGGGCGAGGGGCAGAGGCAGGTGGCTGTACACGTGAGTCAGGGGAGCAGGCTGGCAGGGGAGACAGCTCCGTCTGAGGACCGCGGGCTCCATCCAGACCAGAGTCCCCAGCTCTCTCCCACAGTGATGGAGACCTCTTCTCTGTTCCCTGCCAGTACAAGGCCTGGCTCCACCTCTCGGGTTAACTCAGTGTGGGATGCTGTCTTTAGAGGGTTGTCCTCAAAACCCTGAAATCCAGTGATCAATGAATAATATCATTTAGACTTTATTATTTGTATTTAGTAGGAAGAAAAACACAATGGTCTGATGCAAATAAATGATGTTTTTTTCTTTCATAGTCATCTTTATAAATGCAGTTTTGCAAATATAATATTTCATGAGCATAATTAAGTAAGAATGAAGTTGAGGCTAACAATTAGTAAAGAATACTAACAGCCTGGTGAACGTGCAGAGAACAGGAAAGCCACGGCCACAGAGCCATTTCCTGTGCTGTGGTCAGGCGTTGTCCCTTTGGAGAAAGTGAATTCAAAGCAAGGCCAGCAACATAAAGGCTACTGCACAGGCCTGCTCTGAAGTGCTGGACTGAATGCCGGCTGCCACGTGTGAGCACGCCATTGGCACTTGAGACAACAGCAGCAGATGACTAAGGTGGAGCTGGCCTTCGGCCTGAGCCCACAGGACTCTGCTGTGCCAGCTGCAGACCACCACAGTCCATGGCTGTCTGCAGCATCCTAATGGGAGGCAAAGTGGCAGGAGCGTTCATAGCCTGGAGCACTGGATCCCTCTGTTTCCGTTGCTGTAACAGAAAACCCACCCCTGAGTACTGAATACCCAAGGCTGGGGAATGTATAAAGAATAGCAGTTTATTTCACCCAAAGTTTTGTAAGTTTAATAGCATGTGGCCTACACTTGCTGAGCTCTGAGGAAGCCTCCCATGGTAGCCTCCCATGGTTGAAGGCATCCCAGTGGCAGTGTGTGTGACAGGGAAAGATCACACAGCAAAGCAGAAGCCAGACAGCATGAGGGGTCTGTGTTGTCTTTTGCAAGCACTCACTCTCTCAGAGGAGCTGTGTCCCAGGCAATGACTCAGTCCCTTCAAAGGTGGTGACCCGAGTGATCTCCCACTAGGCTCATTCTCTTAAAAGTTCCGCTGTCCCTCAAAAGTGCCACCATGGGGACCAGTCTTCCAACACCCGAGCCTCTGTAGACATGGACAAAGCCCAGATGACACCGGGCACTCATGCTGCTCCCCATTCTGACGTCGTGAGCCTTTGCCAGGGCTCTGCCACGCTCCTCGGCCTCACTGGCCAGGCTGAGAGCGGGTGGGATTTGCTGGCTGTCCTCTCCTTGTGCCCCAGCCTCCCTTTTCCTGAGCTTCTACTGAGGCCTGCACAGGCAAGCACATCCACAATAGCTGGTTGCAGGGCCAGAGCATTCTTGCTTCCCAAATCCTCCGGAAGGGAAAAAGATGGTAGTAGCAGCAGCATTACAGAATTTTTGAACAATAGTGAGAAAGCCTAATTTGGTAGCATTGGCATGGTGTTTTCACATTTACTTATAAACTGCAATTATCCCATTGCCATGTTCAAATTTTCAAGTCTCCAGGTGCACATGAATGTGATGTTAGAGAAGACTCTTAAAATACTCTGACATCTTAGATCTCCATACATTTCATAAGCAGTGGCGCTTTACAGGTACATGTAAAAATAGATTCTCGGCTCCTCAGGGCTGCCCTGTGCCACTTGGCATTAGCAAGCCGTCGGAGCACATGGGGGCGCCTGCACCGGAGATGCGAGCTTGCTCCCTTCCCCGCGCCCCAGGCACGGTGGCGAGCTGAGCTCCTCATCCGGTTGAGGACAGCGCAGGAATCCAGAGGGCTTCAAACCTGGGTGCTGAGCAAACCTAAAGCTCTGTGTAGAGCTGGGCAGGAAGCCAGTGACCTGGGGACTTGAGGGTGCCGACCTTCTGGGCTCCACTGCCTCCTGAGCTCAGTCACGTTGCCAGCTTCGGGGCTTGGTAGGCATGAAAACTACGCTGAACTCTCCTCCAGAGCCTCCTTTCTAGGGCAGGCTTGCCGTGGCGATGCAGAGAAGTTTCTCCGCCCAGTGGTTCTGGAAGGCACACTAATAATCTCACTCAGGGTGCCCAGTGTGCCCTGAGGAGCAGCAGGGCTGCCTCGGGCTTCTTACTGCCCCCCAGTACCGTCTCCAAGAGGCTGGGGCAGCGGCAGTCACTGTCCTGCTGAGCACCAGCCTGGGCTTTGCCTGCAAGCGTCGCTCCACTGGGCTCGGCAGCCTGTGACCGTGGCACTGACCATCTGTCCCCTGGGCTCTGGAGCCTCCAGCTATTTAATGTGGGCCTTCGAGTATCGAGAACTGCATCTGCTTCTGAGAGGGAGAGCTGCAAAATACCCTGCTTAGCTGGTTTGAAAACTAAACTTAACTCCGCAGGGAAGCCATGTGACCATTCACAAAATGCTTCCTTCGTTACGAATTCAACCAAATAACAAGAAAGAAAGAATGAGCTGATCAGCTGTCCCAGAGTAGGATGAGGTTCTAGGACCTAACAATGCCACCACTCCGTGAGTGGAGCAGACCTTTCTGAGCACACAGACACTTTCTCAGTGGAGTGGGGAACTCGCCCTGTGAGACCATCTGCCACTGGGCCTCATGGTTAATAATCTAAAAACTCACTGCCTGGTCCTGGCACCCAGCTGGTGCTGTGGGAGAAGGGCTTCCTTCTGGGACAGTCCCTAGCGGTCACTCACGGCTGGTCCCTCCGGCCTCGGGCCACATGGATGCCTCCTCCTGAACTTCCTCGCCCAGACACTCAGTGCTTTCTGTTAAAACTCTGGATGTGTTTTCCTTTCCCCTGCCTTACAAGCAGTAGATTCTCCTCCTTCTCTGCCCTGCAGGTCTCCGTGCTCTCTCAATCCCATTCTCTGGTTGCCTGGGGCTGGTGGGTGGGACGCTTCCCCAAGTGGAGCTGTTTGCTATCTGCCTCGAGACTGCTGCCTGTGGGACACATGTGTGCTCTCTGCATTCCTGCTGCCCCATGGTGCTCAGTCCACTCTCTCCAAGTGCTTTAAGCTAGCTGAGAAAATCAGAGGGAAAGGAAAACAGAACACACGCAGCAAAGATGCAGCCCCGCTCACTCTCTGCTTGTTTCCTAGGGATCACAACCGTGCTGACCATGACCACCATCAACACCCACCTTCGGGAGACCCTGCCCAAAATCCCCTACGTCAAAGCCATCGACATGTACCTCATGGGCTGCTTCGTCTTTGTGTTCCTGGCCCTTCTGGAGTATGCCTTTGTCAACTACATTTTCTTTGGAAGAGGCCCTCAAAGGCAGAAGAAGCTTGCTGAGAAGACAGCCAAGGCGAAGAATGACCGTTCCAAGAGGGACAGCAACCGGGTAGGCCCTTCCCCTGCTCTGACCGCCCCTGCCCTGCGGCGCACGGGCGCTGCACCACCTGTGAGCCTCTCCGAAGGACACGGACGGCCTGCTGCTCGCAAGCCAGACCCTTCCCTGTGCGAGTCACTCGCTTCCCATGGAAACGTGAGTGCCGCTGTTGGAGAAGCCGAAAGCAGCTTCTTCTAGAAAGAGCAGAACAGGGGTCCTAGAATGAGAGAAACTCTGGGGTGGCAGCGCACCCCCGTAATCCCAGCACTCTGAAGCAGGAGGACCCCAAGTTTGAGCCCAGCCCGGGCAACACAATGAGACCTTGTCTTAAATTAAAAATAAATGGGGGCTGACATGTAGCTCAGTGTGGAGGCCCTGGGTCCAATTGTTAGTATTGGAAAAGAAAGGAGAGAAACTCAGGGGTGCGGGGGCCAAACGTGACGCACGGAAGCATTTTCCAAAATGTCTCAGCATTCCTTGAGTTGCTGCAGTACCGGTTTGATCATCCAGCGCGCGGCCACTCCGCCGTGGAGGAGGCGGGCATCTGGGCTGGCCCCGTCCCGCCGGCCCGGTGCCCTGGGGAAATCCACAGCACGCAGGGCAAGCAAGGCGGAGGCAGGGGTGGGCCTGGAAGCCCCCGTAGATCCATCTGTGCTCGGCCAGGGTCCCCCGGCTGTGCCGTCCCGCAGGCCGAGGACGCCCCGGCTGCTCGCGGGTGCCAAGGGCAGCGTGCAGACCAGAGCCACCTCCAGCTCCGTGTGCACTCCCGTCGTGCCCTTCATGCAGGGCTTGGTCACCAGATGCCACTTCAGTCTAGTTTAATAAAAGCAGAGTTTTACCGCAATTGTGAACAATACCTTAAGGAAATTACAGCTTCTATACAATTTTTCTAATTTATCCTTCCGACTTTTTCATCTCCTCAAGTCTTCAACAACGAAGACCTCTACCTGTTTGCAGATTGGGTTTGTTTCCACATTCTCTTGGTATTTCAAGCTGTCCTCGCTGAAACTACTCATCAGAGGTTTCCTGCCCCTTCCTGTGCCCTGGGTCTGCCCCTCTCAGGAGCGAGGCGCTCCGTTCCTTAGGAGATCGCCTGCCTGAAGAGGCCCAGAACAGGCCCCAGCCGCTCAGGAATGTGTGGGACCTGTGAAAGGAATGTAAACGCTCCCTTCCGCTCAGCAAAACCTAAATAGACTTGGTCAGAAAAACCCAGAATCTGTGAATAAAACCAGGCTTCCCACAGGTGAAATTATCTTGACTTTCTTCCTGGGAAACATACTCGGTACCATACTGTTCTGTTTCTAAAGAGTCCGCATCCTACTATGAATACACAATATCCTTGGCTGTGCTGTTGCCAAGGAAACTAGGATTCATCGCATCATTGTTTCCATGACAGAGGCACATGCATGTGTGCCTGTGCGCGTGCATGTACACACTCACATACACACGCAAAACTATCTTTTCAAATTCGCACAGAGTATAAATCTGTTTCCTTTCTTCTAAATGAGACTGTTTAGAACTGTCAAACTGTGGTGTTATAGAAATATCTTTCTAAGTATAAAGCATAAAATTTTAAACTAGAAGAAAAAAAAGCCCTTTAACATCCACAGAGAAAATTAACAGAATATAGGAAGAATTATATTATAAGTTGGATGCAGAGAGAATGTTGAGCTGATTCATGAGTCCATTTTTATTGTTAGTTTTTCTAAAAATTTGTCTTTTGTCCCAGCAATTTTGGTAAAGTTTTCCCGTGTTCATATTTTCTGCAAGGTCTGTAATTGTAGACCAGTCCTTGTGGTTTAAAATCAACATACAAATAGCTACATGCATACTAATTTTGAAAGCATATTTGATGCTCTAAAGGGTAATCGTCAAAAATTGTCCCTGGGGCCAGGGTTGGAGCTCAGTTGTAGACTGTCTGCCTAGCAGGCATGGGGCCCTGCGTTCCATCGCTAGTGCCAAAAAACAATTTTTTAAAACTTTCTGACTGCAGCTAAGAATTCAGAGATAACTCTTAAGTATAAATAAATCTCCCCAAAAGTTTATGTCAAGTGAGGTAGATGAATTCAAGAAAAGTGAATGCGGAAAAGAATCACAAGATTTATGCAAAATAGAAAGGGCAGGACAGCTTCAGCAGTCCTCTGTAATTCTTCCCTCATTAGTCTGCAGTGATGGCACTGAGGATGGCTTATCTGCAGGGCCAGCCATGGCCTGCATCCCCCAGCAGCTCCCTGTTGGCAGCAGGAATTTGGCTTGTCATCGCCTTTCTGAGACCGCTGAGGTGTCCAGTGAGGCGAGTCAGGGGAAGACAATGCCTCAGGGCCATTGTAGCCACCGAGGGAGGGTCTGAGTCACCACAGATGCCTCCAGCACAGGAATGCAGTGATCCTACCGTACACCATGAGTTGATCATCCTTAGGGTTAGTAGTTATACATGATTTTAACTTAGTAGTTGAGTCATGAGTGGCTACAGTGTTCACATAATTCACCTGACTTCCTCTCAGACCAGCGGTACAGTATAAGCCCTGACTTCATTTGTGCACTCTGCCTGTCGGCTCTGAGCTGCTCCTCTACTCCCCTACCCCAGAATTGGTCTTTGGTTGCAACACACACATTACAGTTAAAAGCCTGTGAGTTGACCAGGTGATATTTAAATTTCATGAGGTGGCAGAAAGTCCTAATTCTTGCCAAGAATTCAGAGTTGTAGATTCAATTTCATTTTATAAAGAGCAAGGTTTCATTCCTCACATTACAGATTCTTTCTCATTCTCCTAAAACTAGAATCTTTCATTGAACTGGAGCTAGAAGGAAAGCGAAGAATGAGGTATCCACTGTGCACCACTGTGGTGACATATCATAGGAGAAACAGAGTTTTCCTGTGATGTATTCCAGCTGAGACGTTTTTAGGGTTTGATGGTTTCCACCTGGTAAGGTAGAGCAGGAAGAAAAGCTACATTGAAATTGATGGTTCTGATTACAGCAGATATGAGGTGGACTCTTCAATATAACAAATATTCATGAAATAATTTAAAAATTGCTGGTCATCGGTCATTCTATAGATTGCATTTCAGATTTATATTTCACTCACACTTTTTTCTATTTTAAGACCTACATTCCAGATTATACAAAATGATTAATATCTCCTTTGGAACATTTTGTTTTAAATATTTGGTTTCTAAGATTTCACAGATTTTAATAACCACTAATCCTTTCAGGGAAAAAACCTGCTGAAAATTTTGCTATAAATTTTCTAGATGTTGCTTCATATTTAAATGAAATCCAGGTGAATGTAAAACTGTAAGTAAAGGAGCTGAACCTATTGTATACTAAGATCTTATTTAATAATTAATTATATTTTTAAGTTCCTCTGCACACTAGAATAAGTCTTACCTGAATTATTGTTTCTGTTACCACTGTTTGCCTACTCAGAAATAAGAATAATGTAAAATTTTATTGTTTGAGTCCTACCTTGCAGGACCTTGTCCTAAGATAGCTGTCAGCTAGTCATGCATAGCTAAAGCGCCCGAGAGCACTTTAACTTTGCAAATTATTAATGGTGTTCATGGAGTATCAGGCGTGGCTCCCCTCAGGCTCAGCTTCTTTCACTGGACTTCAAAATCAGAATCTTTGACTCCCACCTCCATACCACTAGCCATGACATACTGGGGAAAACAGGGCACTGGATCCTAAGAATTTGTCACTAAGTCCTGAAGACGCAACTCAACCTTCAGTTGACTCATTTCTTGTGTCTTCCTCACCTCCTTGTGTGGTTCCTGAAACAACCAAATGCGTTTTATCTCTTGGGCACCCATCACCCCGCTCTTGCTACCTAGAATTCCTTCTTCATGTTGAGTGTCTTCCCCACTGCAAGACCCAGGCAGACCCTCTCTTCCACAGCACTTCCTAGCTCTTGTCTGTATCCTGCCTCTGTCCTTCCCGAGTCCAAGTAGCTGATTTTGTTGCTGTTCTCCCAACTTTCATGACACACACTTTGTGCTTGTGAAATTCCAGATCACTGAGATTCCCTGTGTGGCCCAAGCCTTCCCCTGCTAGGCAGCATCCAGTTGCTTGTATCCACCAAAATCTGCATACCCACCGTGACTGGGATGTGAAATGCTCCAGTCTGTGTGTCCAGGGATGTGTGATGTTCATCATGAGTTTGGTCCCACTGGGCCAGTAGCTTTTCATCATTTTCTAAGTCTGAGAAAAGGACAAGGCTCACAAATGTCATCCTTTTAATGCCAGGTGAAGCTAAGTCATTAGAATCATGAAAGTTCATCATTCCTTTCAGAACATACATTTCTTTCCTTGGTTCGTTCCACAAAATTGTTAGTTTGAATCCTTGCATTTTGATAAAAGGAGCTTTTGGTATGTTATTTTTGATAACCAGAAGAGATGACGTTTTAAAAGTGTATTTAAAAGGCAACATGTGTTCTTCTAAAAAATATATTTGCTAGCCCTTTGAAGCTGTCTGCTGCTAGACTCCTTGATCCTTGGGGTCAGGCTGCTCTTTGTGGCCCACCCTATCCCTGGGCAGAATAAGGCCCTATGGCAGGTGCATGCTGACTTCCGCATGGAGGACCTGTTCCAGGCCCATATCTGCATGCCTGAAATGAGCCCCTACTGCTGGGGTGGACCATTTGCTCTTGTAGCTCACAGTTTTCTCTTTAACACATTACATGGCATTGGAAGAACATTTTTCTAGAGAGAAATAATATTTGGATGGCTTTTTTCCTACCTTAAGAAAAACAATTTCGTTTTCTGAGATTCTAATTAATAATGTAATAAACTACTTATTACTGAAAAGAATAAATTCTTCATAACTACTTTCTAAAAAAGACCAAACATGTTCTATCTTTGGTCATTCTCTGATTCAACTTCAGATACATACTAAACACATCAACTTGCCATTTATGACGATCACTTTACAATGCTAGTCATGTAAACAAAACCAAGTTGAGCTTGCTTAACAAATGACTCCGACTCATTCAGTCTCATTAAGTGGTAACCACTATGTCTTCTCCCCTGATGTTTGCTGGGGTATGGTTCACATGCATTGCTATAAACTGAAGTAGCAGAGCAAACGGAATTCACAGCATCCAAGAGGTTGCTTCCCTCTCCCAGCGCCCTGTGCGCTCCCGCCGAGCTCACTGCTCTGGGGCAGTGCCCCACAGATGCCACCTCCCCCCACTCTGGGTGCTGACTGGGACCACTGCTTTGCTGCTCTCCTGTTTCGGGAATACCTGCCTGGGTCTCAGGCTCCTCTTCCCACATCTTCATGGTAGCATGAGAGACTGAATCTCCCAAACCTCTGGATGCCTCCCTGGTCCTGAAGACATCAGGCAGCATTTGTCACCGAGAGACTCTTTCTGCTCGTTGTTCCAGGGAACATAACAAAAACAGATACACCACGAAACTTTCAGAATCCTAATGCTCTTGGTAACTTTGAGCTACAACCACCATTGGAATTTTCCCTTCAAAGGATAAAAAATGAGGAAATGATAATGTCTTTCTGTCGGGCACTGCCCCTCCAGACACCGAGTACCTTCCCCTGGGCCACCCTCCCGAGATCCAGTCTGCTCTCTTCCCTTCCCAGGAGACTGCCCACGGTGGCCCTCTCCGTCCTGCCCGGGCGCGCCAGCCGCTGGCCTGCCTGCTGCAGCGCGGCCGTCCCGCTGTGGGCTCAGCGCCCCAGCACAAGGGCCCTGGGTGGGTCCCAGTCTAAGCGAGTGCGTCCTACTCCTCCCTGCCCAGACCGGTCGAGTGGGAGCCCAGCCTGTGCTGCGGCCGCAGACACCGCCGCGGGGAGCGAGTGTACTGGGGGGAGACCTCCAGGAGACACGGGGCGGGCTGTCGCAGGGCGGGAGGGAACAGCTCCGGGAAACTCGGCTTTCCCCAGACTCCCCACAGGAGACGGTCCAGGGCAGTGTGCTCTCACTAGGGCCCCTCTTGGCCCTGTCTCATCTCAAAGTCCACTCTCACGGTCTTGCGCGCCTAGGCCCTGGTTCAGAAGTACGTCATGTTTCTACTGAGAAACCACTTTCACATCTCTTTATTAACCGTGTAGAGCTGGAATTCCTTAGCACGACATGCCTGATCCCCTGCTGGCCCCGCTCTCCCTCTCGCCTGCTTCCCCCTCTTTCCGAGGTCCTTTCCGGTTAGGGTCAGAGGTGTGAAGGCGACACTGACGCGCATGGCAGCGCACCAGAGGCTCGGCCCGGCCTCCGCAGCGTGCTTCAGTTTCTTTTTTCTGTTTTCTCAGGGACCTGATTTCCGCTCAGCTGGTGCGCCTTTCTCACAACACTTAATCGCCACACCTTTGCTTATGATTTTCTTCCTGCTGCGTGTCTGAAAATGTACGCTTTTCCTCCCTGTTCGCGGAATAGCATTCAGGGTCTCACACACACCAGGCAAAGGCCCTGCACGGAGCTGTCCCGCGTCTGCTCCTGTTCCGAGGGCGGATGCAAATGTACCTCCCCTCTCCACCCCGCAGCGGTGCCCAATGACCACAGACGGAGCACGTTAAAGCCACAGCCACTGTGGCAGCACAGAGGCTGGGTACAAAGTGCAGGAGCAGGGACCTCTGGGGTCCCCCACCTAGGGTCCCGCTGGGCAGGAGCCAAGGGGCTCTGGGTGCCAGGGCGCTGCCGGGCTCATTCGGGCGGTGGCCAGTCAGCTCCTGGTCTTGCCAGGCTCTGGCTGTCGCTGGGGCTGCCCTTTGTGGTACCGCCTGTCGTCCTCCTCCTCACGCCTCCCTGCCGCCCATCCCGGGCTAATCGAGTCCTCCTTAAGCTGTTGGCACTTCTCTGACTTGTGCTTGTGCTTCCGGCTAAAACCCTTTCTCTTGTGCTTATGAAAATTCATGTTCTTAGATGGGAACAGGAGCACCCCTGACTTGAGGTCCGTCACCTCACTTGCGTCTGCAGAGGCCCTCTGCAGCCCGGAGCGAGCTCGCCGCGCCGCCTCACCCTGACGTCCACAGCCTGCCGAGCACTCGGGGACCTCCGCGCATTGCATTTCCGCATCCGGGCTTCGCCGCCGGCCTGGGGGCCGGGGTGGCGCCAGAGCCCCCCGTGAGGCTGCGCCTTCCACGCGCTGTGCGCCCGCTGCCTCTGCCTCTCAGCGCCTCTGCCGCGGCTCCGGGCCTACAGGGAGAACGAGGAGCTCCCAGCGGACTGGCGCTGAGCGGCAGCCATAGACGGCCCCGCGGAGGAGCGGTGGGCGTCACGGGCACAGCCGCGGGCAGTGGCCCGGTGTGGAGGCGGGTGAGGGGGCGGAGAGGACGCGCGCAGGGCGCCGGGCGGGCAATGGACGGGACGGGACCGTGCAGAGGGGACCCCGCGTGCTCCGCGGCGGGCCGAAATCGGAGCCCTGGCACTGTCCACAAGTCAGAATAAAACACTGCTTCACTTTGCTTCCACTGTGGAAAGAGACTTTAGTCTATTTAAGTGTAGCCCGAAAAAATAAATATTTGCACTTTCATTTGCTCTTCCGTAAGGAGTCATACCTGTAATACAAAATTTCAGTTTGAAAAGGCCCCACTAATTTTCACTCATCTCCTGTGGGAGAAGTCTCCAGTCAGTCGAGGAAATAAAACCTCTAAGTCACGTTTAAATCTGCAGAATGACACTGTCCAATAAAGCAAAGCCCTGGGTCTGGCAGGGGCACGGTGTGCGGCTTCTCGCAGACTGTGGGACACGGTTACATGGCGTCATCCTGGCCCGGGTTGCACATGAGAATTAGCTTTGCGGGCGTGCTGCCTGCCGCACGCCTCACGCGGTGCCCTCTCTCCCCATTAGGTGGATGCCCATGGAAACATTCTGCTGACGTCGTTGGAGGTTCACAACGAGATGAATGAGGTTGCGGGCAGCGTTGGTGACACCAGGAATTCAGCAATATCCTTTGACAACTCAGGAATCCAGTACAGGAAACAGAGCATGCCCAGGGAAGGGCACGGGCGGTACATGGGAGACAGAGGCATCCCGCACAAGAAGACCCACCTACGGAGGAGGTCTTCCCAGCTCAAAATTAAGATCCCCGATCTAACCGATGTGAATGCCATAGACAGATGGTCCAGGATCGTGTTTCCATTCACTTTTTCTCTTTTCAACTTAGTTTACTGGCTGTACTATGTTAACTGAGTGACTGTACTTGGTTTTTCAAAGACTTCATTTAACACTGAGTGAAATATTACCCTGCCTGTCAAGTTTTTATACTTGTACACACACAGACGCACACACGCAGACACACACATACATACGCAATTGTATATATATGTGAACTTTCTCAGCATATATATAAAATACACGTGTATATGAGGATGTATGTGTATATGTTTAGACACACAGGTGTAAGCACCCATGTGTATGTCTATATATACACATACATATATACATTTTGCAGCTATGGACATTTTAACACAGGATACATATTAAAGAGCGTCATAGTTTTTTCTTTTTAATTGAAAGGGACAAGTATCATCTAAATATTATGCCTTGAGAGTGAGGGCGTGAAACACAATGCCATCCCAAAAGTGTGTCTTTTAGTATCATAAGTTAGATGTTTTAGTTTAAAACTCAGAAAGACATTCTTAGTTAAATTTTGGAAACTCATACAGTGACACTGCTTGTTTAATACGAGTCACACACTTCAGATCCTCTTTCAGTTTACCAAGCAAAGGCTTGTTGGCTTTCCTGGTGACTGGTTTTGTTTCATCGGGTGTACTTTCTCTGCAGTGGTTAGCAGATGGAGTGTTTGCCTGTTGTCTTAAACGTAGGTAGATCCCATGTTGATGTCCTAACGTCCACCTTTGGAAATCGCATTGGGAGTGAATGGCATCTCATTGTAAGTACTCTACTACCCTGAATGTATAGGGTTTTTCTCTTCACTTGGAGTGGATCCAGCCTAACTGTCATGTGGGAACACAGTTGCATGTTTTGGTAACGGCATTTCAATCACTGAAAACATGTTCTACATCTCGTCTGGATTTCTAGGCCTGATATCTACAGAAAGCATAGATGTCTCAGGTTCTTTGTTACTCTAAGGTAAAACCATCTAGGATGATCTCCCCCTTGCAGTTATGTTATCAATCATTCTTATAACATTGTATGTTAATATAAAATATATTTGCATAATATGCATACATATGTATATTTACCCAGATTTTGTTTCTTATGCTTGCTATCATGGCAGCATGCGATGTCATATTTTTTGTTATGTGATGTAACTACTTTCTGTTAGCTAGAAATTAAGATTGAAGCTAAACTCTTCTACTGTTCACTTTCAGAAACTAAGAAACATCCTCACGCCTTTATTTTGTGTCTGACATATCTCATAAGCACATCCAACTACTCCTAGGCTGACTAGGTGTCTGCAGGAACACAACCAGTACACACACCACGCATCACCCCACAACCTGTGACCGTTCTCTGAGCCCGAGGAGGGCAACCTGACAACAAACAAGCTCACTTTCGGTTCCTTCTGATCCGCAGCCTCATCAGTATTTGGACTTTTTAAAGCTCGTAGAAACAAGACAAGGTGCACCAGTTTCATAGACGCAACCTTAACTTACTATTTAGATGAGATCTTTCTAAAGAAAAAAAGATGATATATTTTTTGTAAACAATATTTCTATCACAGGCATCCATAAACTGATATGACTACAGTTGTGCAAACAGGTGTCACAGTGAAGTTAAGCATTTGGAGGACAAAATAAAAAGCAAAATATGCAGGAAAGAACTGCTAAATTAATACTTTATCAGAGAATGCCACACGTGCTTCACCCTCTCTGTTCTGTCCAAAATGATTGGCTGTAGTCTGGCCCAGTGCTCACAAGGCTGGCTCCGTAGGGCCGGCACCGGCACCACCACTCTGAGGACCTGTGTGGCATGCTGTCACCGTGAGCTGACCACAACTTGGTTTTGCTTTGGAGGCCATAGCAGCCTTTAACTTGTGGGAGCCTGTGACAGTTCAAGACCCACCATCAGAGAAAACATAATCCACAAAACTCTCACGCTAGAGGTGATTACTGATTTTTCTGCCCTCTTCCCTGTTTCATTCCTGTCCTTCTTCAATGTCTTCTCCCAACTGCTGCTCTCTGATTTTAGTTTCTCTGGAGACAAGCCAGCAATGTCTTGGTCTTTGGCATTTGTCTGGCAAATTCTTTCATGGGTAACAATGGGTGGGGTTCTAAAAGTTAAACAGTTTGGGAATAAACCTTGTAAGTGGCCTTATCATTGTTAATACATTAGAGAAAAAAAGAGACATATGTGAAGATCTCCCTTTCAGTGCTTCAGGTATCTTTCTGTACCCAGTAATTCAAGGTGTGAGCTCCTCATCAGAAGAGGGACGCCAAAACGCAAATGAACATGGACAAAAGCAGCTGATGGTCAGTCTAAGTGTATAATTTATACTATTCAGAGCTGTGACATTCATTTCTTTCTGGGAGAAAAATGATTCAAACTTTTTTGATGCATAGATGAGGTACTCAAATATGAAAGGCGGAGACCCCATGGGGCTCAGGAGAGTGGCAATCTACTTCCCGAGGTTTTCTGAATCTAAATTTGCATGGTATAGTCATAATAGCTTTTGAGCTTTTTATATACATTTGGCACCAAGACTGGGGATCCACAACTTTGTAGACACTGCGATGAAGTTAACATAATAGCTATAATATAAATAGTGTTTGTTACCACACACACACACAACATACACACACACACACACACACAGAAATACATACATATATTCTGTAAAAAAAAAAACTTTTTAAGATTCTTGGGTATGTGTTTGCTTTACTCCATTTCAGAAGAAAATTACTTTTCTTCTAATAAAATTATTTTATAGCTTCTCCATTTTTAAAAGTTGTGAGAAGTATTGAGAAGAGAACTCCGGCTGTGCTAACAGAAGAGACTTCAGTGCGATTCTGTTCTGTTAAAATGACCCCTCCTCTCCCACAGTAATTACTTGGGCTGTGGTGGGGAATTTGGAACCCAGACCTCTGACATGATGGGAGGTGGCTGTCACCCATGCCAAGACCTCTGGAGTAAGGAGAGAAAAATTTGATTTGAGATTCAATGAGATTTCTTTCTCCACAACCGAAAGTAATAGACCATTCATTTCTCAGTAGTCCTGTCTTTCCAGAGTGCTTCCTTCACAGGGGCTCAGAATGTACAGAACAGTCTTTCGATGACAGTCTGATTGCCCATCCTCGGGTATGCCTGAGACCACCCAAGAGTCCCCTGCACAGAGTCCTGCGGAGAAAGACTGATCAGACTTGAGCCATCTTTAACACAAGTGTCAATCCTGTTCGCCAACCCCAGGACTGTGGAGGGGTTTCACTGTCTATACCATGAGAAATTCATTTCCCCCCTGTCTCCAATGAATTAGAAAGTAGATCACCATAATGTTCCCACTAGGTTTTGCAGTGACATGTCCTTCCGTAGTGACATAAGTTTCTAGTGCTAGCATGGGAACCTTGACATCTTTGGTCCCTCCCGTCAAAGGCACTTCCCTCCCATCCAAACATGGAATTAACATCTTCACCAAGGAGATCATCTCAGAGGTGACACCATACACATTTGGGACTGGCTTTAAGGGGACAGACACACTGCCTGTCACTGTTCATGTTTGGCATCTACTAGATAATCCATAGGTGTTTGTCCCAACAACAGCATTTTCTAAGAAGAGATGTGTCCAACTTCAAATCTCCTGGCTTGATAGTATAAACCATTCCATGACTCTTATTTTGACTTTCTACCTGAAAACCAGTTCACATTCTGGCCATTTTATGTAAGCAAAAATTGATAAATTGGTGAAATGTTTTGTTCCTCTTGGAATGGGCTCAGGCTCTCCCCATGAGCCCCCCATCAGAGTAACATTGAAACATGGGGCAAGGAGCTGGCCAGGTGGATTGAAATTTCCCAGGACACTAGCTAGTGTGCCTTGGATTGCTTACCTCTTCTACTGCATTGAAAGGTGCCGTGTTTTCCTGAAATACTAAATTCCCAACACCTGGGTAAACTACAGCCTCCCTGAGAGTGGCTCACAAACCACCCTGAAGCGCACTTCTCCCTAGGGACAGCCCCGTGAGCCCATTTTGTCACCCTTGTCTCATTTTTCTACTTCACAAGTCAGTGAGTGTTTAAGGTAAGTACAGGATCACTCTGATAGAATAGGTGGTTGCTGTCAGGATCAATTCCCATGTCGATTTCATTTCATTGTAAAGATAAATTTAAATCTGGTTTTCCTTAAGCACATTGATGTAATTTTTTGGTATTATTTGACGTGAAAAGCAAAACAGCAAAATTGAGTGATAGATACAATATGAAACTTGTTGATGAATGAATTCAAATTTATTAAAAAAGAACTAACTGACTTAAATGTAATGACTGGTTTTTTTTTCTTTTTTTTCTTTCTTGGCTCTCTTGTTGAAATGGTGTGGTTATTTTAATCCCAGTCATTTTTTAGTTGCACATGCATTTGGGTTTTGCTGAAAGTAATAGAAATAACCCCAAAGTTGGTTGCCTAAGAGACCAATTGAATTATGATGTTTTTTAAAAAAATGCACTTTATTCTGAACTTCAGGAATCAACTAGACACAGAGCTCTAACTTGCATTGGTGTTCAAATGAGTGTTTTAAGTAAGAAACATTTTTATGTTGAAGGCTGGGGAATCAATCTATCAATAACCTTTGGCCAAGGTGGTATTGGCCCTTCTTTAGTATTATAAGGCAGATTCCCTGGTTTCCTTTCCAGCAAGAAAGTAAGAAGCATGCTTTGAAATGAATGAACAAATGAATGAATGACCCATGGACACCTCAACAGAGACGACTGCTAGTGGGAATATAATATCTGTAGGCCCTCAGGCTGTTGGATCATCTGCTAACACTTAAGAGAAACCTCAGAGTGGTTTTAAATCTCACAAAATGGAGGTGTTTAACAGCAGGTTTGCCTCCAAATATATGGACTCTGAGCGAAACAATACAAATTTTTCATCACAGCCCCCCCCCATTAATTATCTGGGCATCTCTTTGCATTCTCCTCTGACACCCTAACTTCAACGTGTTTCACACTGATACTTTGTCAATGGCTAGAACTTGACTGAGGGAGGTATTTCTCAGTACCTCACTGGGCTACATACTGTCTGTCCCAGGTAACAAGTTTAAATGACCAATAACTACAAAAGAGAGAATTTCCAATTCTGACCAAAGGTCTGAAAGTTTCTCTGGAAATCATCCTACTTTTGGTGGCTGGAGGAGCCCTCACTGAATGTGGGGTCCGGTTATCCCCAGAGAGCCCTTCCAGACTACCCACTCCCCTCACCCACAGTTCTGTGAGCTACATTGATATTTGGCTCTAGTATATAACTGTTGCTCTAACTTTCTTTTGATTAGCTTCTAAAGGATAGGGATTGTCAACTCTCCCAGGAATGAGAACATTATTCTTCAGAGAAAACTGCATCTTGGATGCCTTGATACACTTTCAAGGTAAAACCTTGAGTCCCACATTGGATGAGCCATCAGTATTACTCAGTGAGGTGCTCCTACTGTTAGAGGAACTCGAACTCCACGGCCCTTGCTTCTTTAGATAAACAGGTTCCAGTTAGAATCCATCAACAAGCAATGGAGAGAATGCTTGTGTGTAAAATAGAATTCACTGGTGTTGGAGTAGACTCAGTAGTAGACTCCATGTTCTGGGCTCTGGGTTCAACACTCAGCATTGAAAAGCAATGAAACAAAACAACTTGAAACAAATAAGACATTAATTAATTAGGCCCCAATAGGTGCGTGATTATAAGACACTACATACCATAATCCATTTCCCATTTCACTAGGCTAAAGCACTTCTCTCGACTCTGCTTCTGTTTTTCATCTTAACACATAATAACTGCACATATTTATGGGGTACAGTGTGCTATTCCAATTCTTGCATACTGTGTGTACCGATCAAATCAAGGAATTAGCACTGTCATATCTTTATCATTCCTTAATGTTTGGAGCCTTCATGGTGCTCTCCTCTAGGGAATCATAAAGTATATGATAGGTTAATGTGAATTATAGTCACCCTGCTGTGCTGCAGATGCCCAGAACTTACTCCTCCCATCTGCTATGAGATCAACGTTTTAGGTTCCACATCTGAGAGAGAAAGAACATTCGATACTTGTCTTTCTGTGCCTGGCTTATTTCACTTGACATGATGTCCTCCAGTTCCATCCATTTTACCTGAAATGACAGCATTTCATTCTTTTTATGGTTGAATACTATGCTGTTGTGTATAAATACCACATTTTCTTTGTCCACTCACCCATGGGTGGGCACCCAGGTAGAGTCCATGTCTGATCTGCTAGGAATAGTGCTGTGCTCAGCAGGATGCCCCATTGCCGGCATGAGAGTCCCCGCCCAGCTGCCTGCTCCTCCACCCAGAGCTGCCACCACAGTGTACATTCATATTTGGCTCTGTCTTACAGTTCACTCCAACTTTCTCTTCATTGGCTTCTAAAGGATGGGGATTTTAAACTGTATTTCTCTCTCTCCTTTCCGCCGCCCATCTTCTGTTAGTGTAACTATTCTCTTACATTATCAAGTTTAAAAACATTTACATTCAGCCAGAAATCTTAAAATTATATGTCAGCATTTAATATTTGTTTACAGATGTAGCCTAAAAGTTGAAAATTATGAGCAAGTCGCATTACTAAGCTGTGCTTTGTAAGTACTGTTAAGGTTTAGTATTTTGTTCAAATGTGTCAGGATAGGGCTGCGGATTTAGCTCAGTGGTACTGCCACCTGCCCTGCAGGTGCAAGGACCTGAGTTCGATCCGCAGTACCAAAAAAAAGTGTCAAGATAATGTTAGAACAAGAGGAAAACAAAGTCAGAAATACTGTAGTTTTTCTTCTAGAATGTGGGCTCAGTGGCTGGCATGTGAGAAAAGGTTGTCCTGTCAGTGTTACCCTGTTGACAAGTAACATTCAGCACTCTAACTTTACTTCAGCCTGAAGGGTTTTACTTATACATTAATTCCAAGAGTTGAAAACCAATGAACAACTTTGCTGTTATCGGAATTACCTAACTATTACTCAAAGCAGAATTAAACAATCTGCTGGGGTTTCTTTTCCACTTTTAGAAGTCCAGTGTCTCAAGTTAGCTACACGAAAGAGAATATTTCTAATATTTGTGTTAAATTAATCACTTTTCTTTACATCCTTTCAGTTGAACAGAGCATGTATGTTTGTATGAGGTCTTTCCTAGGTGTAATTCCTCCCCATCACCCACAAATACTCAGTTCGGGGTTTCTGCTTTTCCAATCTTTTTTCTTAAGAGGGAAAGAGTTATAAGCTTTCTTGACCACACAGTAAGTCTTCTCCACCACTTTAGTTATTAAATTTACTGCTGGAAATCTTTTCCACTTCCCATTACGAAGTTATTCCTCCTGGGTGGACACAACTCAGATTCAAACCCCAGAACTTCTTAACAGCTATCTTTCATCCTAGTCTAGGTGTGTTTGGCTTTGTCTGTTAACCTTGTGTTCTAGGAGATTTGTTTTACCTTTTAACAATTCTATTGCATTTTCTGAATAGAACTTTTGAGTTATAAAAGATGTACAAAACCCACATATATTTAAAGCACATAATTTAATAAAAATTGACTTCTGAAGCCATTTTCATCCACCCCAAAAACGTTTTCCGGGTGCCACTTCCTAGCACCTGCGCCTCAGTCTATTCCTGTCTCTAGACAAGAACTGATGAACTCGCAAGAGTGGAAACAAGAGAGATTAGTTTGAATCCTCTACAGTTTTATACAAATGGAACCAAACAGGATGAAGTTTTTGTCTCTACTCTCTCAGTATATTTTGAAATTCACCCACGTTGTTTATGGACCAAGATTAACTACATTTTACTTCTGAATAACATTCTTTTGTGGGGATGCACTACAATAGTGTATCCACCCATCTGTTGAAAGATATCCGAGTTGTTTCTATTTTGACTCCTACTTATAAAGCTACTCTGAACATCCACGTATAAGTCTTTTCATGGAGCTATGCTTTCATTTTTCTTGGGTGAATACCTAAGAGTGAATTTTATGGTAATTTATGTTTAACTCTTTGTGGAACTACCAGACAGCTTCCCAAAGCATCTTCACCACTGTACCTTTCACCAGTCATATATAAAATTTCCAGTTCTCCATATCCTCTCTAACACTATTCACTCCAAAAATGTCAGCGACTTTATTTGTAACTATTTTAAGTGTTGTGATTCCTTCTGTTTTTAATTTTCACTGTCTTATTAACTAATGATGTTGGGCATCTTTCCTTGTGTTTGTCATCTATTTGTCTTTGTTAATATAGGGCCCCTCTAAGTCTGTTTTCTAATTGTATCTTGAGAGTAGAGTTTCTTACATATTTTGGATACAAATTCTTTATCAAACATGTACTTTATAATTGTTTTTTCTCTCTGGCCTGTGCTTTCTTTTCATTTTTAGAATAGTTTTTTCGAGAACACAAGTTTTTAATTTTCATGAAATTCAATTATCTATTTTTTCTTCTATGAGTCATGAATTTGGTATTATATCTAAGAAATATTTGTCTTTAAAAGGGCACAGATACTTTTTCTTATGTTTCTTCTGGAAGTTGTTGATAGCACATTTAGACTTACGATACACACTAAGCTACCACTTGCATGTGGTGTGAGATACAAATGAAGTTCATTTTCTATGTATTCATATTCAATTGTTCTAGCATCATTTGTTTAAAAAATTCTTTTCCCACTGAATAGTGTTTGTATCCTTGCTGAAAATCAATTGTGTATGAGGGCCTTTATATTCTTCATTCTGTTCCATTCAGTTATATTGAGCTCAATACCTCAGTGTTTTAATAACTGTAGTTGTACATAGTAAGACTTAAAATTGTGTAGCATTAGTTTGTCCAGTTTGTTATTCTTTTTCAAAGTTTTTTGGCTATTTTAGGACCTTCACGCTTTATATGAATCTTAGGATTGGCTTGTTGGTGTGCATAAAAAAAGTCTTCTAGGAATTTTATTAGGACTGCACTGAATTTATAGCTCAATATGTGAAGAAGTGACATTGTAACCATGTTGAGTCTTCTGACTCCCAAACAGTGTTTGGAGTCTATTTTACCAGGGTTTCTCGGGCTTGACACATTAGGACCACATACTCTTTGACACATTCTGAACCATGGAATTCTTTGTTGTGTGGTGCTCTTCTATGCATTGTGGGATTTTTAGCATCCTTGGCCTCTACTCACTAGATTCCAGTAGAAAAGTTACCTTTCACCCTCCTACCCGCTACACACACTTCCCCACCCCCTCATCCACCCCTGCTTCCCTTATGTCTCCAGAAATTGCCAAATGTCCCCTGGGGCAG